AGAGCCGGGCGCAGCCCGCAGCGTCCCCGAGTCCGGGCCGCCGCCGCCCCCGCCCGGGCCGCGCTCCCCCTCTCGCGCGCCCTCCCTCGCGGGTCTAACTCCTCCCCCTGCCCCTCCTCCTCCTCCTGCTCCCCCTCCATGCCTCTGCTGCTCCTGCTCTTACTTATCCTGCTCCTGCTGCTCGAGGACGCCGGAGCCCAGCAAGGTGAGTGGTCCCGGGCCGGGCGCGCGTCTCCTCGCCGTTGAGCAGGCGTCCGGGCGGGGGGCGCCCCTCGGTGGCCAGACCTGGAACGCTCGTGGGTGGATGGGCAAAGGTGGGTTCGCCCTGCCGGCCCCCGAGTTGGCAAGGTGTTAGGTGTTGGCAAGGCCAGTTATTTATCTGGAAAGAGAACGCCTGACACCTTGCAGTGGATGCCTCCTTCCTTCTTGGGAAATGTTTTGGGATCCAAGAGAGAACTTTGGGAAATGTGACCCCTAAAGTTAAGCCACGTGGGTGGATGGACATAGTAGGAAGACAGGGAAATTAAGTGGCATCTTAAATTTGTTTAACGTGAATAGTGGTAGTTGTCCTTGATGAGAGTACTTGGGTAAAGTAGATTGCAGTGATATCTAAGCTTTGGGTTCAGATCTTGAACTTCACAATCCCTGCTTATTAAAAGGGTAAGACTTTTAGAAAGTTAGACAACTTTCTTGTTCTACAGTCCTTGAAAAACTCATCGTAAAGGCAATCAAAACGATTTATCGAATTGTCATCGGAATGGAAAGCAAATACAGGTTTATTTTTTATTTTTTGTACTCTTTTCAGGCTGTGTAGTACAGTTTTTGAATCAGTTTGGCAAGTTATGGGACACTTTTTATTTTACTTTTTTAGTTTATCGCAGTGGGAAGGATTGGTGCTTGTTGCTGGGAACATTTTTTTTTTTTTTTTAATGTTTAATCTCCACGTTTAAGTCCAGAGTAATGTTGCTTTCGTGGTTTTCAGTAAAGTATGGAATCAGGGCCATGAGACTCATAGAGAAAATGCTGAAACTTGGACAGCCACGTGGAAAGGCAATTTCTCAGGGAAAAAATATTGTTAGTGAACTGAACTCTACAGATGTAGCACATTTATGTAGTGTAACTTAAAATCTAAATGCTTAGCATGCAGGTTTCATCAACACCTAACATGTTGAAAGAGTGGCAAACCCTCTGTGTTGGACTAAGTGGTTTATGTAAAATAACTCATTTAATCCTCACTGCAGCCAGTGAGGTAGCCATTGATATCTCACTTCCCACATAAAGAAACAGACAAAGATACCTTGGATCAGAAATGAGTGTGACTAGATAAACAAAATAGTCCCTGCTTTGTTTCTGCATCTATATATCATGTTTCTAAAAATTTTTGCAGTGAAGAAAGCAATATTTCTCCCTCCTCAAGGTAGACTGCTGCTTTGCTTTGAAAATTTCTTGTACCTAATCAAATGTAAAATGCAACCACATTTTGAAAGGCTATCACTTTTTGCCAGAGAATTTAAACAAGTATTTTTCTCTTTCAAAGCATCATCATACATAAACATTAGTGTAGAGGAACAGATTTTTCTAAAGTAAGAAAATTATAATAGTTATTAAAAGACTTTTTTTAATGTATTTAGTACAGGATCTACAGGGTCTCACTACATAGATCAGACTCGTAGTGATCTGCCTGTGTTCAGCTTCCCAAATGCTGGGATGACAGGTGCATGCCACCATGCCCAGTCACTCTGGCCTCCTCAGCCATGCCCCTAGGGTAGGGTTGGCTCAGCACATGGGGGATCATACGTCTGGTCCCTGCATCTGCCTAAGCAGGCGCTTTAGTCCACTGAGCTGTCTGGCTGGCCCTTAAAAGACTAGATTAAAAAAAAAAAAATCGATTTGGTGCATGTCATTTAACCCCCTTTTAACTCAGTTTTCTACCTTGTTCAAACAAGAATGAGTACTTGTTTCATAGTGTAATGAAAATGAAGTGATAATATGCAGGAATTTTGCAAAGACAAGCACAGAATAATTATAAGTGATTATCATTAATATTGAGTTACTAAGTTTGTAAATTAAGGGCTCATTAGGTAAACATCATCTGAAAACTAGAAATGCGTGGGATTTGAATTTACTAATTTTTTAAAAAATGTATTTCTTATTCAGAGGATCCTAATGCAGTCTGGGATGGAATTCCTTTTAACTCAGTCGTACCAGCCGAGCAAATGGCTTGAGGCTATACCTGCACTCCTTCTCATAGCTTGCGATGCAGTCTCATTTAGAAATGAGAAGCAGTGCTTTCAAACACTTCATAGAATTGTTAATAATGTGAATTTTCACATGTTTTACAAGGTGTAGTTTTTAAGAAAACTTAGGAAGGATAGATGGAAATAAAATATTAACAGTGGTCTTCTGGTGATAGAATTACAGGTTCTTTTTCACATTTTTGCATGTTTGCATAGTGTCAGAATTAAAAACTGAAACATTTTTCTGACAAATTTTTTTTCACAAACTGAGTAGAAATGCTCATACTGTATCTGTTCGGGTAAGACTGTGCTTCAGAGTTGGTTAATTTAATTATTTGTGGTACTGAGGATCAAATCCCAGGGCCTTGTACATACAGAGCAAGAGCTGTACCACTAAACCACATCCCCAGCCAGATTTACTTTACTGTTTGAAAATTTTGCCAACATCAGTTTGAAGTAGCAGAATATATTACCTTCATTCCATTAATGTTATATTTTGCTGTTCATCAGCAGATTTTTCTACTGACAGTAATTTTTCTTTTCGTTTGTTTCAGAATAAACTTTATCATTGGTTTGAAAACTTGTTGACCATTTCACAAGTGATGACATATTTTAACCACTCGTCTTCACTAATTTATAGATTCTGTATGTTTCATACCTATTTGTTTAATGTTAATGTTTTAGCTGTAGGTTAAATGTGTATTTTTGAGTTCTGAATTTGACATTAATCTTCAAAATCTCTTTTTCTTTGAGAAATCTTTTTCCCTTTAAATACAGTTTTCAGTGCTTGAGATTGAACCTACTTCCTTGTGCATGTTAAGTAGATGCTCTCTTTCATTGAACTACATCCTCAGCCCCTTAGATTTTTGATTTTGAGAGGGGTTCTTGCTAAGTTAGCAGTGGCCCTCTGGTTCTTTCTGCCTCTCCCTCCCAAGTAGCTGGGCCAGTAGGTTGGTGCCACTACACCCTGTCTGTACATCTCTCTAGACATCTTATGCTCATTGCATACTTACTACTGTAATTGACTTAAAAGGGAATTTGATCTATCATTGACTATATGTCTCCAGTGTTATGACTAGGGGTTTAAGTTGTCTCATCTTAGGAACTTGGCTTTCCTAATTTTTCATGAAATGCATGCCTACCTTCTGAGTTAGAATGTGATTTAATTGTGGTGAAATATCTGGAAATTAATTTTAAAAACACATGGAATGACTTGTTTATACCTATTAAGACATTTGTGAAGGTATTAATTTTTGTTTGTAAATTTAATCTATGAAACACATCAGGCTCAAGAATAATTCAGGGCTAGGGAGGTGGCTCAGTAGAATAAGTGCTTCCTTGGCAAGCTCAAGGGTCTGAGTTCAATCCCCAGCTCTGCCAAAAAAAAAAAAAAAAAAAAAAAAAAAAAAAGAATAATTCAGTTATACAGTGATATTTGGAATTCATAGGTGAAAAAGTTTATAGAATATCATGTAATACCTTTATGTACTTGTGGTACAGGGGAACAGTTTTTGAGGAGCATTTTTGACTTTGTCAGAAATGAACTTACTCCTATCTGCAAAGAAACATTTGTAATTATTTGAAATATTGACATTGGAGTGAGATTTTTCTGTCTTTTCTTAGTGTGATAACATATAAGAAATTTTAGGGCCAGCAAGATAGCTCAGGGGACAAAGTGCCTGCTTTAGCAAGTGCGCAGGGACCAGGGTTTGATCCTTGGTACCACCTGCCCCCGGGTGCACTGAATGGCCGACTAAGTCCAGGTGTGGTGGTGCGTGTCTGTAATCTCAGCCCTCTGGAGGCTGAAAACAGGAGGATCACTTTGAGTCTGAGCTGAGGTGAGACCCTGTACCAAATACATAAATGCAAAAATAAGAACTTTTATGTGTAGCTGTTTTCAGAGGCAAAAAATCAGGGCATCCTTTTCTGCTATATTTTTAATTATTTTTTTAAAAGATATCAGCGTAAGTTGTCCAAGCAGTATTAGCACAAACCTTTTCAATGAGCTTGGAGTAATTAGTACTATTAACTATCATATATATGTGTGTGTACATATATGCATATATATATATATATATATGCATATGTATATACGTGTGCTTTTTTTCCCCTCTTTTCTTTTTTTTAATTTAGTACAGGGTCTACAGGGTCTCATTATGCAGATTGGACTCATAGTGATTCTCCTGTTTTCAGCCTCCCAAGCTTTGGGATTACAGGCACCTTCCACCACACGGGTGCCTGAATCTCCCGTCTCAGTGCATCCCGGGGGCTTGTCTGGCATGGCATGCCAAGGATTGAACCTGGTCCCTGCATCTGCTTAAGCCAGGGCTTTAATCAGCTGAGCTAGTTTAGCCAGCCCTTCTTTTACTTTTTCTCTGTTTCCCATCCCAGTTTTTCTTTCCTTTTAAAGTTTCTTCCCATTGCACAATACCTATTGTACAATTTGAATCTTACTTTTTCAGCTTCTCACACTCTGAGAAAATATGTTTACACATGTGCATCTGGTTTGTTTCACTTGTGAGGGTGGTCTCGAATTACATACATTTACCTATAAAAGCCTCCAGTTTTTCTTTATGGCTGAGTAATACTCCATTGTATAAAAAAGACCACATCTTTTTTATCCATTCCTCAGTTGCTGGGCAATTGGGTTGTTTCCAAATATTACAAGTTGTACTGCCATATTCAGTGTATTAAAGTGCCTGCAAGCAGGTGCAGGGGCTGGAGGTTTGATCCCCAGGCCTGCTGTCCCGGCCCCACCCTCGGGGCATGCTGAGATGGCATTTGAGACAGAACATGTCTGTGTGTACCTGTAATCCCAGCTCTTGGGAGGCTGTAAGCAGGAGGATCATGAGTCCAGTCTAGTAGTGAGACCCTGAACACCCTGTAGACCCTTCCCTAAAATACAAAAAAAAAAAAAAAAAAAGAAGCCCAAAGACAAGTGGTGCTGCTATAAATGTGGGTATACATT